CTCTTGCGTGCCAGTGGAAATGGCTCTGCGTACCACTTCCAGCAAGCGTGGCATAGGTTCGCCAACACGGAACTATATTATACAGTAGCTGAGGGCAATGTGTGCAGCAGCAACGCACGTAGCAGCAACATCTATAGCACATTCTGTCAAAATTTTCCAACTACTGTACAGAACATTTTTGCTGAAGTTCTAATATCAGGGCACGCTACAAAGTTTAGCACAGACTACATAGTAAGATTTGGTGGAGAGTCTTTTTAATTACGATACCTGTGTTACAGATTGCTTCCTGCAGAGATGTGCACTAAGCAACCACATTGCATTCTAGTGGAAAATTGAGTTTTTATTTTTCCATTTTTTTTCGACCATAAAACCTTTTAGGGGTTTTAAAACGCTTCGTACTAATCTCCCATAGTTGTTTTATATTGCAGCCAGTTTTGCTCTTTTTTTCCGTTCATATCTGTATTTTATTTCTTATTTTGCTTTATGTTATTTTACTGTAGTGTTGTAAATTGCTTAAAGTATATTGGTATGCAATATAAACACATTACATAAAAATAAAGAAAACCACACTTGTGGAACTAAGGAACCTCAGCAGAATAAAAGCATTTTGCTCTATTATGGATTTCTACTGGCTTAACAGCCAGTAAAACCAGTAGTTCCCATGCCGTTTTCTTTGTTGTTCGTTTAATTTAAGTAAATTGCTAAGAGCAGTGAAGCTGGCAAAATACACTACGTTTAGACACAGCACTTTTTTGTAGCTGGGCTAAGGAATTAATCACACACTCGGAAACATGATCTAACCCCTTATTATTTAATTCAACAAATGAGATTAAATTGTGTGTGTTTGTGCATGTGGGCATGTGGCAGAAAACATCCTCCCTCTCAGTGTGCATCATTTTGAAGCAACAGAATTTCTGCTAGTCACTCTATGACCATGCCATATATACAAAAAGTAGCCTTCTAAAATGACAGCCTTATGAAATAAAGCCAATATTTTGCAATCGCAAAACTGCTCAGCTTTCCAGTAATCTACTTGCTAAAACAGATAATCATGAACAAATAGAGCTATCTTTGCAGACAACTTCAGATTTAAATTACCATTCTTGCTGAAATCTTAAGTAAGCAAAGTATGTTTCATATCTGACGGAGAGCCCTGCATAAGGAACAACAATAACAAACAAAGGAAAAAATAAGGTACAATATATTTTTGGCTTTTGACTATAGAAAATGAATAACCTCTTAAGGCATAGGTAATTTTGGAAAGACCATAAGGTAGGTATATATTTTCTATGGAAAAGCACAGCATTCAGTCACATGTGTGCATCTATGCACACACAACTGTTGCTTCAATTGCTTAACAATTCTTTTGCATTCAAAAAGCACCTTGACCTTTAATTCTATACCTTTATTAACCAAATAAAAGCTGCCTAAACAGTTGGGTGTGGATATGAGAAATACACAAAAGAAATTGCACAATGCTATGAAATCTCTACCAGTTTCACTTACCAGTAATCCACTATTCTCTTTCAAATAAGGCAAGACATTTCACTTATGCAACTATCAGCTATGTGAAACAATTAACTATCAAGTCCTTCTAGATGTTTTTGCAGTGTAGCATATTAACTTTTTGCTTTGGCAAACATTCTTTACTGCTAGCAAGTATTGGGATTCTTAAAAGGGAGAAAAGGAGACGGAAGTGTATGGCTATCAGAGGAATACTCCTCTAATGACCATTGTATTAGATGACAGATATGTAAGACCACAATGTAGGTTTGCTTGAATTTGGAACAGGCATCTTTAACCTAGATCCTCATGCTATATTGCAAATATAATTCCCAGAATTCTGAAAATGGTACTATGACCACATCAGTGGTATACCAGGTTGGGGAAACCTGACTTGGAAAGTATTTCAAAGTTGATGACTCCATGCTACAGGTGTAAAACTCATCAGCGTGTTTGTATAGTGAGAATTTTTGCTAATCTCACACATTATTAGTGGCAACTAAAACTGATGGACACTTCCTAGTCCAAAAGATGCATGGCTCAAGTTCTTACATTTAGAGGAACATCAAAAACCTCAGCATTTTCAACACGCTCCTGTAGTGATTCAAATTAGTCTTTCTTTCTTTCTTTCTTTCTTTCTTTCTTTCTTTCTTTCTTTCT